GCTTGTCTTTGTAGAAGAGAGCTGAGAGAAATCTGGGTTTCAGTTCTCTCATCACAAGATTTTAACTACAAGTGAGATCTCTAAAATGCAAGACACCAACATTTTATAGCAAGTGGATACGGCTGGATTCTCAAAACCTGAGGAGCTTAAGACAATTTATTTTCTATTTTGTAGGGAAGCATTGTCTGGCTGGAAGAAAAAAAATCCAGGTCCAATGACCAATTATGCACAAAAACTGTTACTGTTAACTCAATCCAGCACAAACCAGAATACAGATGCTTTTTTTTTTTTTTTTTAAACGGAAAAAGGCTTCTCTTTCTTCCCTCCACTTTTTCAATAAAATTGGAAGAAAATTTTTTTTCTTGCACTTTCACATTTGGATACTCTTATTTACCCCATGGTGTTATATTCTTTACTACTTTGTATGAGAGAGGAGCTGTCCATATCCTCAGGCTTGAGCTACACTGATGTGCTGCTCTAATTTCCAACATTGTTACACAGCACTAGCATAAAACCATCAGTTTGAAGTCAAATCACAAAGTAGCCTCAGATTTGAACTGGTAAACCTGAAGCAGGTATATATTACAACAGGGCAAGCCACAGCTTGTTGAGACACTGATCCACATCTCATTGAGACTCTCCACTGACTTTGGCAGTTGCTGGCCCAGCCCTTAATACTATAATAGTCCTACCCTGCAGCAAACACTGCAGAGAATATTCTGGATGCTTCTGGAGGTAAGCTATTAAACTACTGAGATATTAATAAAAATATTTGTATAGTAAATTTCATACTAGCCTCCCTGAATATAATCTGTAACCTTGATTATAGCTGTTAGCTTATCATTGTAAACTAGAAGAAGTTTAAAGGATGGAGTTTTAAAAACCTCTCCTACCCACCCATCAGCTCCTCCTGCCCCATGCTTGCCCTGACTTAATGCACCTCCTAGCTGTGGTGCTGCCACCCATTCAACACAGCCTACTAAAGCACAGCAATTTCAGAGTAACAAGGATTCCAGCTCTTTTGCCCCTTCTTACAAAGCACTGAGAAGCCACTGAGTTCCTTAAAAATCCTAGTGAGGGAAAGCAGGAAGGAAATCAGTTTAGCAAGTATATCTGAAGTCAAACAAAAATGAAAATAGTGAGCTTCTGAAGCAAACAGAGGGTGTTTCACAAAAGAGGCGCACACACAAGCAGGAAGAGCATGCCACCAAATGCTCCACTATAAAGCAAAGATGTTGAAAATAACATGAGAAGCAATTTGAGAAGAAAAAAACTGTTTGGAAATATAAAATAATCATATGCGATCTATAAAAGCACAGCTGGAAAATATATTGCATTTTAAGAGCAAGAAGAAGTGTTTCTACCTGGAAAGTGATAATTAAGACCAGACTCACTTTTTTCAAGTGCAATCCTCCCAAGCTTATATATGTCCTGTACTAACTACTGCCTTTGAAGTAGAAGTGTTTACATATATTTGCTTGTTCTAAAAGCACTCACTGAGCTCTGTGTATCATCTTTTAAACCTAGTTTCCATATCCAATGGCAGGAAGACACCTGCAAAGTGTTAAAAACAGTTGTTGGCCTGACTCACAGGCAGGTACTTCTGCCATTCACACAAACTCCTACTGAAGTAGTGCCCAGTGCAGGCTCCTGGCACAAACATGCTACAGTGCAACCAGCAGTGCCCAAAGCCAGTGCATGCAGCAGTATGAATCACGTTGCTTCAACAGGGCTTCATCTGGTGCAACTGCAACACAGCTGGGAGCAAAGTTTTCCAGAGAGAAAGACTCATTAGGATGACAAAGTTCAGGAGTATTATAATGCTGAAACTTTCCACAGCCTCTGCAGTGCATAACTTGTCATTACTGGAGGCAACATCTAGTCTTCACAAAGGCTTACAAAGAGTACTATTACTCAGCATAAAGGCAAAGGGTCATCTTTATTTAGTAGGATTTTAAAACAGATTAAATGTCTTGTCATAAAGCACAAAGAGTACACCAAAAAATTCTGCTGAAGAACTTGTGAACAATCTCCAGATACTTTGCTTAGTTGTTGAGATAACTTAGTGCAGGCCTGTCATGTAAGAATTTTCTTGTCTCCCTTTGGATTTACTCACATTCAGAAAAAATATCCACAAACATTCTCAAGGAAACATTCAGAAGGATGAGTTGGCTCTGAAACTCTTGGTATTTTTCATCCAGCATCAGATCAGTAGAGTGCCAATTCTAGCCCACCTTTGACTTCTTCAGGTATAACCATAAGAAGAAAGCTCGAATACCAATCCTGAAAATTTCAAGTTCACTGAGCAATGGTATTTTGAAGCTTTTTTGTCTTTTTAACATTGGCTTGGACATCAGATTTCTTGTGCATTTATTAGCAATTACAAAAGAGTTACAAGGTTGTCCCTTTACTCTCCACCTTACCAGAGTCCTCCCTCTGCTCTTCAGCTGTCACAAACAAAAGGGTCCTTCTGTAATACTGCAAGTTACCTATTATCTTCTGCAGTGCTATGACAGGTAAGAGCCCACTTTCTTTGATGTCTAGTAGTTTATGTACCTGAAAATAATTTGTCAGTAATTTTCTCTGTAAAGAAGTGCTTCATACCTGTCAGAGACAACTTCTCAGAGAACCTGAACTTCTCACACAGCTACAGGATGAGGTTTCAAAACACAACCCAGGTTACATGCTTTTGAAATACCCCACAGATTTGCTCAGCACATTAGAGGGAATTTGCTATTCTCCTTTCTTTACCAACACACCCAAGTCTGGATATTTGTAACCCACGGATCTGGCATGTCTGTCCTAGTTTTCTAGTAGATGTTACAAGTCATTCTAATGGTTGCATGTGACGCTTTGGTGTTCTTTATCAAGGAAAGCCACAAGCGCTATTGATTCAGGAAGACAGTATTTCAATGGTTTGTATCCAATGCAACCACAAGGAGTAGACATTCAATTTTAAATGATACACTTGTCTGTTGAGGCCAATCTGCTAGATGTACAGCCATAGCTGATGTACACTAAACTTCCAGACAATCTCTTCCATTAATTCAAGAATACTGTTGATTTTGAGGAAGTGGCATGCAATTCTTAAACAATTAGATAATGATCTTCATACAGATTAAAATCTAATGAAATAAGAATGGAAGGCAAACTCAAAGCAGAATGGGACAGAAGGGGGGGCGGGGGGTGTACAGTATGAAGAGACTCAAGGGAAGCGTCCCCGTTTCCAGAACATAGGAATTGCCTATCCATGAAAAAAACCACCTTCCACAACAGAATCTACAGAAAGTAGGCGTTTGGGGGCAAGGGAAGAAACGAGACTAGAGGAACTAACACAATCAATACATTAACAGTATTGTCACCAAATATCTACACCATTTCAAACACAGACTTGGGCAGATTGATTCTATTCTTTAGTGTGTGTCTGGAAGACTGCAGGTACATACTTCTGTGAAATATTTTGAAACCTGCACTGTAAAGAATAATAATTATTACCAGCTTAACTTTTAATCGATAAAGTGGTAAGAGAGCTCAAGAAAGGGTTTCAAAATCTTAAATGCAATGATAAAATTATAATGTACAATGGACTTTGTGAAAATTCTGTCTTAATTCATGGTGGCACAATAAGATGTTGCAGCTTTAAACCATATGAATGATGACATATCACCAGATTAATTGCAACACTAATAGAACAAGATAAAGCTGAAATCTGCTGTTCTGTTTTACCTACACTGCCTTATGTTTAAGCTGCCTCTTTAAAAGACAAGCATGCAAAATTTGTTAGTGAAACAGGTATTGTTTAACTTCCAAGATTCTCTGCTTGCCTAGCTAAATCACTTTTTCAAGAAGTGGCTTTTGGCACTGTTCCATAGACACGAAGTTCAACTAAATCCTTATTACACAGATCACTGACCTGAATCTACTGATACTCTTATAATCTCACCTGTCAATCCAGCTGTCAGGCAAGCTCATTAAATCCCAGACATGAAGCAAACACAATTTTAGTTGAGAGAAAAAAAGTCACACAGCTTTCAAAATGGCCATTTAAAAACTTCTACCATTACCTTTCCTCAAAAGTAATGAAAAACTGTTTCTGTTTCTCTGAGACTTGATAACAAAACCAAAACTACATCCCTTTAGCAGGGGGTAGGGGGGAGCCACACACAAATGGCAATTTAACCAGCTGACTCCTACTTCTTAAACACATTAAACCAATCCATTTGTGCAATAGTTTCTTTTTTAAAAACCGTTTCAAAAATTGAAATACAACAGAGCAAAACTTAACTGTCACTTTATGCCAGATTTAAACAACTGTAAGCCTTATATTACAACCTTATGAACACATTACCTGTAACATAAGAACTGTTATTATCAAGACATTCTCACAATGGTATTGCTAAATAAAAATCACCACACTGATTTTCATGCAGCTATGACAGTACTAGGTTTGCCACTTGTCAGAGATTTAAAATGTTTAAATAGATATCTATTTATTTCACAAACTTGAGCTTCAGAAAACTTAACTTGAAAGTTTCACAAACCCATCTTAGATTCTGTATGTATCAGGGAAACAATGACTTTAAAAGCATGGATTTTGATTGTAGATTTTTTTATTTTAGATCAGGTAACAGAGCTGGATTACCAGTTCTGCATGCAGTCTGACAATACACAGCTACATCAGGATGTAGCAGTACGCATTTCAAATAGTTGTTACCTTTACTAATGGAAAGGCAGAAACTACATTTGGTTGGGGGAGATGTTTGTTTTAAATACTCTCCTTTTTTCAGGAAGAGGTTTCCTTCAGCAGCTCAAACAGCCTGTAGACAAGAACTAAAAATGCAGCTTCCTGGGTCTAACTGTGTTTTGTAACTCAAAAGCAAAATAAAATAAAATCCAGCCTAATAAGGTGGCAAGCCCAGAAGTCACAAGTGTTAGCAGGAAGTTACTACAGCACCAAAACAATGGAAAAGATGGACTTACACATAATTTATTATTCCTACCTTCCAAATACTTAGAGACTTTCTCCATTCGAACTGCCATATGGTAAAGAGAATGAACAAAAAGATGAAATGTTTAGCTTTAAAATCATTTACAGAAAACAAGCCCAAAAAAATCTGGAGTTGTGATTATTAGTAGTAGAAAGGAAGTTATTTGTCCGAACCTGAGGTTAGGTCAGATCCTCTGTTCTTTTTATCTTCTACTATTTCATAGAATGGGCCTATTACTTGTAGTAATTCTTCAACTTTGTCCGTCACTGGCATAGTCTCAAGAATCTGCACAAGTCCAAAATATGAAGCATCTTATGAAACAACATTTCAATGATTCATTCAACTGATTTCAAAAACCTCTGGTCATTGTAAAACTGAGTAACATTTCACTAAGTCATTTAGCACATTATTCTGATATTTAATTTTTTTTTCATTAAACAAAACCAACATAAACCTAATTTACCAAACAAGAATCTTAACTAACTGTATTAAATTTTTAGTTGAAGAGAAGATGGGAGAGCTAATGCATTTGTCACCTTGTTTTGCCAATTATTAAGCCTAGCATAAAGGACACAGCTAGCATAAAGATGAACCAATAACCAAAGTGTATTTGATATAAAAGGGTCAGTACATGGGTGAGCACTGGGGGTACAAACAAGTCAGTCAGATTATACATAATCGACATCAATCCCACTGACCCCAACAATGATACCACACAACCAACAATGGGTGGAATAAATGGTGAAATGCAGTCTCCCATAGAAGGGACAGGAGACAACCAAGTCAACAAGCCACATACTGAATCTCTACACAGCCTGCATTTACAAAAGCCAGACCTGACTGGAGCCCAGTCCCAGGGAAGCAGGCGCTCCTTCCCCAACAGGGAACTCTGCACAGTGCATCCACCTCAGACAGACACTGCCCCTTCCTGCAAGTGGTCCCAGCTTTTATCCCTAAGTGGGACACCTGACCTTTGCTTACTTAATGTGGGACACCTGGGGCTCATTTACCCAATGGCTCTCCCTGCCAGGCCGGCTACACCCTGGAGGGAAGCCTTAAGGCAAACTCACCCCCACTTTGTGAAGGGCTGTAGGAATCACCCATAGGTCAACCTTAATTTGGGGCTTGGGGTTGAAACCTCAGCATTTCACACCTCTAAAGGTCCACCTCAGCACAGTATTAGTAGACCTTGGAATCCATTATTTCAGCAGTTTCAAACCAAACCAACTCAAAGTTCAACACGCTACTCTTAAGTGACCAAATTTATTTTATAGACAAGTCTTCCCACAGGGAAAATGAAACTGAAAGACTTTTTTTCTTAGAGGATTCTTCATATTTGTCAAACCCTGCCATCTTCAGTAGAATGTAAGAAGCAAAAGTGCCCTGGTGGGTCCATCTAGACCCAAACCGCAAAATGGACAGAATACAGCAAAACTGGGACAGTGCAGACATACTTAGCAGAGCAAACTAGAACCAAATTCTGCTCTTGAAGTCATTTGGAGCTCTTCCTTTGATAAAAATGTCTTAATTTTAAATTATAAAACCAGTACCTTTGATAGGAATGCAAGATCTTTAAAATAAATAGAAGCGATTCAATAATTGAATATTTTAAAAGCATACGATATTGTCCCATTCTAGTTTAAGTCCTTTCAACTAAGCTTTATGCTGATAGCTTTGCTCCTCTTCCATCCTCTACTTTTTTAATTATTTTTTAAGAGGAAATAGCTGTAGGAGAAGACTCCAGTAGAAACAAACTAACAGACACAGTTCACCTCCTCCTCCAGCAGAGCACCAAGAAACAAATAGACAGAGGTGCAAGTTGCCGCAAAACGTGCTGCTTAAAAGCACCAAGCACATTACTTAGTAGAAGCAAAAGCTACAGCATTACTTCACAAAGCAGGAGCTCCAGGCAGGCTAGAAGGTAACAAGACACTTGTAAACCAATCAAGGACACCAAGAGACAATGATCCTATCAAACTGCAGTTTCAGTACCACTTCTCTATTCAGTATATATAATTCATTCCACATTTGTTAGAGAAATGTTGAGTGGTCAGATACAGAGCTGGACACGAACAAGCGACAAGGCAGTTTTGTGATTTTTTTTTTTTTAAAAACTTCAATAGCATTGAGAAAAACAAGAAACCTATTCGAGAATAACACTTGTATTTGCTATGTATTTACTTCTATAGTCTGCACTGTAGACAGGTTCATATGTGCATTTCTATGATGTCTGCACATAACTGCTCTTTGTCTAAATAGACCTCAATATACTCTTGCAATTTGGAGCAATTCTTAGAATTTTACCACACAGTTTCTGTTAAAGTAAGAGTTTTGTAACTGTTAGCTTTTAGATGAGCAAGAAAAGAGCAATACTTCCACAAACAAAATCAACTGCTTACTAATAGAGTCACTAGGCATAATACATAATCTTAAAATCTGAAAGTGCAAAATAGGTTATATGTATCCTGAATTACTGTTTTCTTTGGATGTCAGACAACTCATATATCAAGATTCTTGTTTTAGATTAGAAATACCATATACTGTTAATACTTCTGTATGCTAAGATTTCACTCACTTCTCAGTAATATGTCTGAAGTGTAAATAAATGAAACAGTTTTGTAATAAAAATTTTCAGAAATGCTACTTGGATGACAAATGAACCTTAAACAAAATGCACCTGAGCTCAGATTCATCTTAGCTAAGACTAAGAGATGTTTGATCATCTCCCACCAGCACCTCAAAACCTCACCTGGACACATTCTTCAATATCTGCGATTTTCAAGGCTACTCCATGAAGGGAAAAAAAAATACTGAACAATTTTATAAAAAAAGTATCTTCTGACAGCCCAAATGCAACATGCAAACACTAGGGACTTGTCCCAGGGGCAGAGGGGGAAATCTGGAAATCCTATACACTCTCAAACACAGTCCTGTGATATCGGTATAGAAGTGGGGTTTTGCCCCCCTTAGACATGGATACCTATGCAGCAGCAGCAGAATGCCCACAGTAACACCACAAGGATTAGTGCAGTATGTGCTGATAGAACAACCCAGTGGATCCATTTGAAATGCACTTCCATTGACATTTCAAGTAGAATCAACTGGGTTGGAAAAGCTGAAGCTAGTATTTCAAATGTGAGAGCTGAAACAGCACCAAAGCAGAGTAAACAGATTCCCCAGTTTCAAAGCTGAGCAAGGCAAGAAGGCATTTGCTCTCCAATCCCTACATGTAATCTTTACAGAGGCAGAAAGAATACTTGTGCTCTATTAGGGTCAAGTAAGCAGACTTCACAGGAGGCTTACTAGGGGTTATTTTAGAACAAACATTGCAGTTTTACTTAGTTTTAGTGTCCTGACCAAACCAATTATTGCACTGGAAAAAAAAAAAAACAAAAAACAAAACAACAACAAAGTACTGAAGTATTAACACATTTTGAATCCAAGATTCTGCAATGAAGCACTAAATCTTGTGGCATGCATTTAAAAGGAATTACTAAAATTTAGTGGTATTTTTGACCAAATGAATAATATTTGTCCTCTGTGTTTTCTGGAGTTGTTTATTTTTCATCTCAAAGCAGCTATGGTAGTACCAGCAGGAACTAAATTGCCAAAATTAGAGATGGGAAAAAGAACAGTAGACAGACTCCAGCTCCTCGCCTAGCAAAAGTTTTTGTCATATCAATTATTAAACAATTATTAGTTCAGTGTCGAGATAATGACCTAGGAGAAAAACAAGTGTATTCAGAGTAGAACTTATATTTTCTCTCCCTGATGCTAACCTCATTATAATAATAGATTACAATTATACTTTTATCCAGATTGACAGTAAACTGGAAAGGCCACCTAGAAGAGTTGCAGTGAAAAGACTGCAGTGAAAAGGATTAGTTAATAAAAGACAAGAAACTTTAACTAAAGTAAACATTCAGAATTAATGCTGCAACTCCTGCTTAATATAGTAACTATGACTGTTTACAAGTTACACATCTACTCCAAAAAAGACAGATCAAAATACTCAGTTCTAACTGTTTGACTGCAAATATAATATACAAGGAATATTTTCATGACAAGTACAGAAAATTCACGTTGCCGAGTTCTTTGTGAAAAATCAAAGATTATTCAGCTTACATATTTGATTAACACTCATGTCTTCAGTCATGAGTGAGACTCTTGCTCCTGAAGTCCTTCTGGAGGGTTGTTTTTTCCTTTCCGAGATAAAGATCACTTAACCTCTCTCAACTCTGAGAACTGAGGCAGTCTGAAGTAAATCAACTTTTCTTTTGTGGTACTTTAAGTTTCACTGTCTTCCCCACTGCCCCCTTTACCATGATTTCAACACTTTTTAGTTCTGGCATTTAAGTTTGATATCAGCTAGAGATCTCATGTTTCTCTGAAAACCCAAATTCTATAGCTTTGGAACTACAAAACTTTCTTCTCCCGGCAGACCAAACAGCATAGTACTGAAACGTAACAGTTCACATAGGGAATAACTCATTTGGAGTTTTGACAGTAGTAGTCAGCAAGAACCTCCTCCTGTTCCCTGACTTATTTCTGGAACATCTATTCTAGAAGATCCTTTCCACTCATTAGAAAACTTACCTTTTTCATTTCTTCAACGTAGGCTATCATGGCTTCTTCCTTGGACATGTCTCCCAAGGCACTCCAAGCATCCCTAGGAAAGAAAGTCACATACATCTTCAGTTTGTTCAGGGCCTGCTGGATTTTTTTCAGCCTGGCCTTAAGTAGGTCAGTTATGTAATGCCCAAAGTTTCCCTGATACTAATAAAACACAACAACAATTCACAACTTTTTTTAAAGTCCAAATATATTATTTGCTAGGATAATCACATAGTGGTACATCAACAAAGAACCAACAAACTGAACAGCCTGGGGACTGAAGAGTTCCTCACTGACCAGCTATGATCTTGTACCTGGTAAGTTGTTAACAAGCCCAGATACAAGACACACGCATTTCCCTTTTGATTAAGTTGATTTTTTTAAGACCTTCTGCTGCAGAAAAAGAGCAGGCACTTCAGTCAGCACTTACAAACAGTTGTTAGTGAGGTCAGACAGGCTACAAGAAAAATCTGTCCTCTGAGTTTAGTAATTGGGGAAAGACACATCAGTCTAGTAGGCAAATAGTTTAACCATCATCTCATTACCACAGCAGCTCCGCTAGTAGTACACAAGACTGAAAATAAAATCTCTCCCTCACCAACTCTGCAAGATGGAAAACTCCAATCAAAGACACCCCCTTCACCCTGACTTGGGGAGACTGGGGAGGAAGGACAAGGAAAAAAAAAAAAAAAAAAAGTCAAACGAATCATTTCACAGATCCTAAGATCACCATGACCATAAAGACAGCAATAATACTTGTTCTTCAGGACAAATCATTACTAAAATATAATAAGCAAAGCATTCACATGGCTTTTCAAACAGATCTTTGGAATTTGCTGAATCAGAAGGCTTCCCAGCACAAGGAGAACAGTGGGAAGCCCTGCCACTGAGCAGACAAACCAGAAAGACACATAAACCAGACCGCTCCCCAAGAGCTTAAAGCTGTATCAGTGGCTGTCAGTGAGCACTTACTTCAGGCTCGCATCATACATGAAAACTTGAGAAGGAAGAATTCCAGACACTTATCCACATCACTCATTCTGCAGAGCGCCTACAATTTCATTCTGCTACATGGGATAAACACTGAGGAGGTACCATAATGGTGCTTGCCCAAGAAAAACCTGCCTGGTGCTTGCCCAAGAAAAACCAGCCCACCTACACCACCTGAGGGAATGTTTTCACCTCCAACTCTGAAAAGTTGTAAGTTATCTGAGCTAGAAAGTTGAAACACAAAGACAGAAAACAAATTCAAGCATCAAAGGTTGTGAATGTTCTTTTTTTAAGCAAGACATAAACTCACTAAACTCTTTCGCCAAGAGGCACCCTTCTAAACATCTCCACTCCAAGCATAAAAAAAAAAAAAAATCAGCAAAAGAACAATTTGTGAAAAGTTACCATTTATATCTACCAATCGGATCCCAAAATCCAGGTCGCGGAATGTTACAGGGTCCTTGGGTTGCTTGCTTATAAAAACTATAGAACTTGAGCATCATTTCATTCGTTGGCTGGAATGAACCTAGTGAAAGCATTTTAAAATACAATTAAATTGTAATCAAGATTATTAACAAGTATTTTACAAGCTTAGTATTTCCATGAGAAAATAGCCTGCAGTTTGTTACAGCCTGATTCACTAAGGTACAACTTAAGTCAACGAAGAACATTTTCACTTCAACTACCATGAACCAGCACCCCTGACAATGTTTACTTTACAAACAGCAAGTTTCAGATTGAGTTTAAGGGACTATAACCTTTACTACTTCTAAGGTCAGATTCCACAAAACATAAAGCAAATGTCCATTCACTCAGTTTAAAGGGACAGGTTTAGCTCACAGTAAACAAAGGATCTTGCAATTCACTTTACTATTAAGAACAGTACCTTATCAAAAACTCCAAACTTTAAAAAAAAAACACAAACCACCAACCAAAACCAAACACAACAAACCCAAAACACAGCCTTCTGCAGTGGTTTTGTTTACTTTGGGTATTTGACAGCACTTTCAACAACAGTTTCGCTGCATCTCCTTCCTTTGCTGAACACACTTTTGTAGAGATAGAAAACGTAAACACAAACCTGTAAGAGCTGACGGGGAAGATTCGTAACCAATCCATTAAATCAGATACTTTGAGGCTCGATTCTAGTCATTAGGAGAAGTTTACAGTGACCTTTATGTTAGCACCTTAACAAACCCCGTTTTACTTACACCAGAATTAACGCTGTATGTAATAACCAACTTTTAAAATTATTATTACTCTTATCAAAACAACACATTCCGATTTTTCGGCTTTTCCGTTCCGCTAACTCTTTCAGCAGAAGGAACTCACGGCAACAGCTCCGATGCCATCAAACCAACTTCAGGACTGCGGGGAGGCAGAGGCCCTTCCTTCCCCGGCGCTCCCCGCACCGCGCCGCGGCGGCCTGGCAGCCCCCCTCCTCCGGGCGCCCGGCAGGGGAACTTCTGCCGTGGGCTCCGAAGCCCCCGAACCGCCGTTTCTCCAGGAGAGGCGGACGGCAGCGTCAAGACCGAGGTTTCCAAGCGGTTCTCCAGCCGCCGCCTGCTGACAGGCGCCCAGCCCGGGGCGGCCCTACTGCCC